GTCCAAGATTAACCTTCAGGGTGGATATAGCTCGCTAGCAGCCTTGCACCGAGGACCTATCCACGTCATCATTTACCCAGAATGCTTTGTGTGGAAATAAAATGGCTCTGTCCGTGTTAAAATATATTTTTTAAAATGTACAAAACTGAACAGCCTACAGTATTTTTACAGCCTTTATTTTACAGTTAAAATATATGTTTATCACATAAAGTCTAATGTTACAACTAATCGGGGATCCCTTTAATGAAGGTCTCAGAAAAGAAGACAAGTCATTAACCTTTTAAAACATCTAAAATTACTTAAAAACACATGAAATCAGTAACTTTTTACAGATGTTGGTGTAAAGTTTGTCGTTTTCAGACAGAAAGCTGGTGAGGTACGACAACATGACAACATGTGTGGTCAGTTATTTCGCTGACACACCCAAACAAATATAACCGTCCTCCTCGGGGACATATAGAGTGGGTCTGATGATGCTGCAGCAGCTCAGGATCAGGTCTCCCGGGTCCTGCAGGACCTTCAGGGTCGTGTTGTTTTAAGTCGAGGACAGACGGCCGACAGCGCTGCGTCACGACTTCCTCTTTCAAAGAACTGACAGGAAACACAAAGAGCCAATCACACGGCAGCTTTTAGGAAGAAAAAACCCTTAAATGCGCAAAAAGACAGAAGATTCAAACGTCATCAGAAAAACTGAAGGTCAGACTTTGAGTGTGAAAAAAAGGGAACGGGTCGAACCAGAACTGATCACTTTTAGACTCGTTATGTTTCACATGGTGCTTCATCAGGTGGAGGGTCACAATCAGCGTGAAGAAGGAAACACAGATCTTTCTTTGGCTTTCATGTTTGAGGAGTCAGCTGAAGTCTGGACCAAACTGGGTCCAACAGAAACCATGATCCCAAACACAGTCCAGAACCTGAACCTGGACCTTCAGAGACCTGAAACCTCAGTCAGCTGAACGCTGGAACAGCATTTTATTTTGAAAAAGTTGTAATTTCTGGTGTTTTACTGTGAAACCGTGTTTTGTTTTATGCAGACGATAACTTGATGTATTTACATAAAGTGAACGCTGAGTCAGCATTTCCTGTTTAAATTCTATTCTATTTTTATTGTAAGTTTGTTTTTTTGTAAGATTTTCCTCCTTCGGCACACTTTCAGATGTTTTAATAATTCAGAAATTAAAAAGTTATTTCAGGACATTATGACAGAAATTTCTGGTTTTTCTAACCTTGTTCTTGTTGAAACATTTAAACGCAGCTCGATTTTTCACTGAATCAAAGGAGGAACTTAAATACCTGAAAAACTCTGTGCTAATGTTTTAGTTTGTATGGGGAGCCATTTGTAAAGTTACACAGTCAAAAWTTACCACCAATATTTTTGTTTTATTTAGCCTTTTATAAGAAAAAAAGAACAGATTTATTTTCAAAGTCAGTTTTTCACCATATGATTCATACATTTATAAATGTGATAGTTTATAAACTAAATATTTAACTTAC